CACTCTTAGAAAAATGGTCCAAAATGTATTTCCAAGTTCGTATCTTGTTTCCCCTAAGTGTCCTTGATCATGTGCTAGAATACTACTTGAGTTTGAGGCCTTAAAGCATCAAAATAAGGGGTGTACGGCCACATGAAGGTGTGCGGCCTCACACTCCTTTCAGATCGAGTTTTGGGGCTTTTAACAAGGCTCAAATATGGTTAAACACATGTATGAGTAGGGTACTTACAGTGTAGGAGCGTATGGGGGTGTTTGGAGCCTAAGAACTTAGTAGGTGTTCTTGGTGTTCTTGAAGAACACTTGAAGATTCACTAGAATGAGCTTATTTCATGGATGAATCAGTGATTTACACTAGATGGAGTAAGGAATCTATAAATCAAAGGCTAGAAACACTTACCAATTGAAGATCTAGGTGGAAAAATCGGGATTCACTTGAGAAATCGAGTTCTTAACTAAGAGGGTATAAAAGGGTGAAATGAAGGCCAAGACTCTTTCTTATAGGTATGTGAGTGCTGCCAGGCGAGTGTGTTGCCAAAGAAGGGGTGTGCGGTCGGCTGTGTGCGGCTGGCTGGCCGCACACCCGAGTGTGCGGCCGCACACACCTTGCTGGGTGTGTTTGGCTCGATTTAGTGATGCTACACACGTTCCCACCCTTCCTAAGACTCATATCAAGATTATACTACGCCTCAAGTACCCATATAGACCCAAAACTTCATTACAAAATAGCAAAACGAGGCTATCTTTGATAAAAATGAAGAATTGTACAAGTTAGAAATTTCGGGTTGTCACATATCTTCACATCTTCTAACTTTTTTTTTCTTGAATCAAGAACATATGCCAAGAATGACTCACGGCCTTTACTTATACACTTCTGGGTTTTAACTGTTGTGATAATACTTTGAATTCTATGATTTTTTCTCCGTAAACCACTACCTTCTTTCCCTCCAAAGTTCTCAAGGATACAGCCTTACTATCTCAAGAAATCTTCGCATGATACTTCGACAACAAATCCATCCTAAGCACTACATCAAAACCTCTCACTAAGGGGTACTAAAGGTATATCAAATTTCTTTCAGAAATTATGAGACCCAAAAGAACAATATGCACCCGAGTCAAATAAAACACTTGCAATTAGAGAGTTTACAAGTATTGTACTTGACACCACATCATGTGCCTCCTTAACTTCTTCTGCAGTCAACTAGAATGCACGAGCTCTAACCTTCACTGGCTCCAACTTCTTACTAGCACTCGGAGCTACCGTCTCATACTTCTTCTTTGGGTAAATTGTGTTGATGTACCCCATCTCATGACAAGAATAACATTCCACATATTTAATCTTCTTATTACACTCAAATGATTTGTGATTGAGATCTGCACACTTATAACACGCTTTACTCCCAAAATTGCACTCACCAGAATGAAGCTTTCCACACTTCTGCAAATCGGAATCTCCCCCTTCTTTGAGCTACCACTTGCAAAACAGGTCTTCTTCCTAGAACCACCTTGCCCTGATTTAGATCTTTTTTCTCCCATATTCTTCTTTTCTTTAGTCTTCCTAACGATCATGTCCTCTAGGTTCTGAGCAGCCACTATCACATCATCCAAAGTATCCGCCTTCTTTACATCCAATTCATAATATATGGGTAAACCCTTCACAAACCGGTTGATGCGACCCCTTTTAGTCGCAAAGATATCCCTAATAAACAACATTCTATCCGAGAACTCCTTCACATATTTCTCCACGGTCAACTCTCCCTTTTCGAGTCAAAGAGTTCATCCACTAACTTCTCAATGTCACAAGGAGCACAATACTTTTCCTTGATGCGCTTGAAAAACTCTTCCCAAGACATATTAGCTTTCGCATTGTCTCCTAAAGTTTGACATACTCTTTCCCATTAAATAAGGGCTTGACCCTTAAGCACTTGAGAAGCATAGAAACATTTCTAGTCATCATGACAACCACTGGATCTAAGAACTTGATTGGTTTCGGTGATCCACTTCATAGTCGACTTTGGATCACGACTTCCTTCATACTCACTCGGCTTGCATGCAATAAATTACTTAAAAGAACATCCTTTCTTTGAATCTCCTTGAGGGCGATCCGCATGAGAGGACTCTTGAGTTCGAGATACACCCATAACAGATTGTGCAACAATAAGAAATGGCTCTTGCCCGACAGATGGTGCACCCGCAACAAACGGTGCAACCTTAGGGATCTATGGAGGTGGTTGAACATGTACTCTCAACCGTTCATTAAGCAGTCGGTTCATTTCTTGATGGTTCTCTTCTGTCATATCCTCTAGATGCCTCTTTATAGCTTCCATAGTAATTGGTTAGGGATCCCTTCTCGTCATGGAAGTCTCTTCGCACTTTACTTGTGGATCAACACCGCTTCTGATATGAACCATTACTGAAAACATAAACCACTAACATGAATACTATAATTCATGAAAATCTAACAACAAATTTCATATCAATAGTAAAGGCAATGATCCTAAACACTCTGGTTCTTTCTTCATCTCACATAGTTTAATCCTAGGTAGGGACAGTCCAACCTAATTCCCTCAAAGTATGGATCTAATACCAATTGTAATGACCCGTATTTTTCACAACACTTTAACATAAATTTTCTGTAAAATATTAGAGTATTTAATATCATTTACAAAACCAGAGTTTCAAAAATACTTCAAAAGTATTTCCAGAAACCATGCACGAACGTATCAACCATATCCTAACCATAGTTAAGGCAACAAGAATAAAAGCATGAACCAAAAATCCAGTCCATTTTCTTGATGCTTCTAGGTCCACTCTCTCTAAGGCTTGCTACCTGAACCTGAAATACATGGAAACAACATATATAAAACAAAAAATATGGTGACTTATAAATTAACATAACATGCATAAAACAGTTTTTTGTTCCACATACTTCACATGTCTAACTAGTCAGGTAAGCGACTATGTCAATCATATAAAGTGATCACGCACCTCAACTTTTACCAGTAAGCAACTAACCGGTCTTTGTCATCACTACAGTTTCCATGAAAAGACTCTAAACAAGCTTTTTTCTTTGGATTCGTATCTTTTATTCAATAACATACATGAGCACATAATATCATAAATAACATTTCATTCATGTGGTCTCATTTGAACAATCACAAGCATAACCATATTTCATCAAAACATGCTACTTTCTAGAAAAGACATAATCTACTATCACTTATTCATACATTCATACTTTAACCTCAGTTCTAGCTCACAAAATCATACTCTAATGAAAGTATAACTCACCTATTTTGAAGAGAATAACAACCTACTTCCAAACTTCTTCAAAGATTCATTTTCAGAATTCCAACTCCTCCTTGGCCACAACCTATATAATTACCACATTAAGCTCCTTTATAAATGTCTTGAACCATTAAGAGCTTAATAGATATTCTAGCCAAAAATCTCATACTTTGGGTAAAACTTTGCTTTGACAATCTTTTGTCAATAAACTTGCTAAACTACCCATATTTAGCTTCTCAATACTTAATCTATTAAGTTCTTAACACATATTCATCATCTCATGATTTTACAAAAACTAGGGTTTGATACCTTAACAATCAACACATGGATTCAACCATGAAATCTCCATAAAAACCTTGTATTAAGCTTATAAACACTTTATTAAACATCAATAACAAGTTATCTAGAAGTGATCTTTCATATTCAACTCAAACCCCAAAGCACGATTAAAACTCTAGAAGCTTGGATAAAGAGGAAGAGATTACCTTTAGAAGATAATAGAGCTTAAACCTTGAAATCTTTACTCTAGATCACCACTTGATCATCCTCCTACCCCAAAATCGCCAGAGCATTGTTTTCTAGAGTGTTGGTTCGACAATGGACCTTAAATGATGTTTATTTTGCTCTCGAAACCGTGAAACGACAATCCCTTTACCATGCCTTGGTGCCTTAAGTGACCCGTGGTCTCCCAAAATAGCATCGCAATGATAATCCCTGATAGCAACCTTAATCGGCCACCACGCCGCGGTGCAAAGTACATTGCCCAAGACTTACGTCAAAATCTTACCCAAATCACCATCTTAGCAACCACATCGCAACAACCAAGTCATCTTGGTGTGGTGGATTTGGAATCAACTTTCATACCTATTTTGAAGACATTTCCATTCCTAATTCTTATACCTATCAATTACTATTCTTTTCTCCATACTTTATATATATATATATATATATATATATATATATATATATATATATATATATATATATATATCATTACATAAAACATCATACAAAACATATAAGTAAGTACATAATAACATTCTATAATTCATATTCTCATAGATGGACCATGATGACATGCCCCTTAGAGCGGGCCAGGAATAAAGGTATTCCCCAGTTAGGGATCTCCAGCGAGGCCCGAATAGGCCCAGCTTGGCCGCTCCAACAGATCCCCAACATGGCCACCCCAGCAGATCCCCAGCTACTAGATGCCCCAGCGGGACGACCGCGTGGAAGGTTCAGCCTCGCCAAGGGGAACCTTCCACTACAGGACAAGGATAATGACTCCAGGCGACAAGGAGCACATCCAGAGCATTATCGCCTAGACCAATCGTTGGACCTGACACAACGAGGAACACGACTCACCAATAACGACAGCGGATCTTATCGGGACTGCAGTCCTTGTTCCTCGTACAGACCAAGGAGGATCCTTAGTATAAAAGGATCACCACTTCGCCTTGAAGGGTAAGCTATCTCTCCCACTTCTCAGCCCTCACTCTCCAATACACTACTTACTTGACCGTCAGAGCGTTTTCTCGGGACCTCCTCCCGGAGAACGCCTGACGACTTTCTCTCTTTGTGACCTCTCATGTTCTTCTCCGACGAACTCAACCCTCACCATCCAGGCGGTCGGAGACCAGGTCGCATCATTTGGCACCGTCCTATTGTGTGACAACAAATACGCAAACCCATTTTCCTCTTTCACCCAGTAACAAATGACGAACGAAGCCGCCGGTGAGCCGTCAGGAACACCACAAAGGCCGATACGACCGAGGATCTCACTGGAGATGACCACCACCCCGCTAACACCACCAGCTCAGACGATCGGCACGGTTTCTGAGACACCATCATCCGGTGGCCCACCACCTTCTCTCACAGCGACTACTCCTTTTGTCACGACCCAGAACCACATACCAATACCCACCATGAACAGCACCACCCCGCCGTTGTTCCCCAACATCGGTGGAGCCAACCTATTCACTCCGCCTCCTCTACCATTGTTTTTTCCTAACACCGGAGGACCAAGTAACGCCGGTTACAGTCTAATACCGCCACCCATTCACGCCAAAAACGAGTCACAACAAACAATACTAGTAACACCACCGTTAACGATGCAAGCCACTAACAGACTACCCCCACTCATGCACACATCTGCAATCCCGAAGAATAACTCCGCTAGTGGCCCAGGTGTTGCTTTCCAAGCACAAAGCTACCCATCATTAGTGACAGGAGCCATGCCGACACTGTCATTCACACCATACCCGCAACTCCCCATTACTCACACGTTTTCCACCCCGTTCCAGACATAAAACTTCTATGGCCCAACACCACCAGACCTTGCAGCTTACAACAATATGCTGGTACATCCATTCCTGGCAATGCAGCAGCCGGGATACCACTATGCTCAACGGACACCGAACCAATACTGCCTCTCGCACAGTGTCACAACACCGTTTGTGAAAGAATTGCTGAAATACGAGATTCCCAACACCGCCAAACTACCCCACCTCAAAACGTACGCCGGCACCACAGACCCGGATAGCCACATTGACACATACGAGTGGACGATGACATCTCTCAAGCTAGACGAACGCTTCTGGTGCACATACTTCCCTATCACTCTAGACGGAAATGCAGGGACATGGTTCAAAACGTTGCGCCCTGGTAGCATCTGCAACTTTAGCCAGTTGAAATACCTCTTTTTAACAAACTTCATGCAGCTCCGTAAGTACAAATGCAATTGTCACTCTATTATCGGGTGTAAGCAAAAGGAGAGGGAGACAGTCAATGATTACTTCGCTAGGTTCACCAAAGCAACATTAGACGTGTCGGGACACGATGAAGGATTGACCGCAGGTGCATTCACGTGGGGATTACTTCCCGGTTCGCTCTACCAGAAGCTCATGGGCAAGCAACCTCAGACGAGAGTAGAGTTAAAAGAGCGAGTGGAGCGTTTCCTACACCAAGAAGAAGGTTAAGCGTCAAAGCGGTTTTAAAACGGGAGATGGAAGAGAAGCAGCTGAAGGGAAATGTGATCAGATTGCCAAAAGTCTAAACAGCTATTTGACGGGCGGAAAACCCTAAGGACAACGCAAGAGGAGCCGACTACCGACAAGATATCCTCATGATTCGCCACAAGCGGCGGAGAGTGGAATGTGCAACCATCATGTGAAGCATCACGGAAACCATGAAAGGGATAACTTTCTCCACGACTGACCCAAGCCCATCCAGGTGGAAATGAGACAACCCTCTCGTTATCCAGGGCTCCATTCGAGACACCATGATCCACCGGGTGAACATTGACACGGGGAGCTCTGCAGACATCATCTACGAGCATTGTTTTCGGTTGCTGCCTGACGCATGGAAGGAGGGATTAAGACCAGCCGCAGGCCAACTCATAGGATTCACAAGGCACAGTCTATGGCCCCTAGGTACGATCAACTTACCGTTCACACTCACTAGTCAAGACAAGACCAGGAGACGGACCGCCCTTGTAGATTTTGTAGTCATACGGTACCCATCCGAACACAATGTCATAATGGGGCGAACCGCCCTACTGAAATTCGGAGCAATCTCATCAACAATTCATGGAATAGTGAAGTTTAGCACAAGCCAAGGCCCAGGGACAATCCTAGCCACACCCCCAAGAGAGCTCAAATGCTACGAGATTATGCAACCAATAGACATTTCAATGGAGGCCAAGAGGCCAAAGCCAAATTCATCACGCGGAGGGGAGGTAATCAACAAGGAATACCCAAGCAAACAAGTAAATGTGGGAACCGCCCTTCCCATGGCAACAAGGTAAGAACTAATTCGACTGCTACAAAAATACAAACACGTGTTCGCCTGGACACCGACAGACATGGTGGGGGTCGATCGGGGGATCATAGAACATAAGCTGATGTTAAAACCAAGGGCCAAAGAGGTAAAAAAAGAAGCGCGTCCATGGAGGGGAGCGAAACAAAGCAATTAACGCAGAAGTGGCTAAATTGACCAGCGCTTGGATCCTTAGGGAAGCAATTTTCCCAACATGGATCGCCAACCCGGTAATGGTGAAGAAACACGATGAAATCTGGCGCATGTGTATTGATTACTCGGACCTCAACAAGGCGTGTCCCAAAGACTGCTACCCACTACTAGAAATAGAACAAAAGGTAGAATCTCTATAGGGGTTCCAATGGAAATGCTTCTTGGACGTAAACAAGGGATATCACCAAATCCTGATGAGCAAAGACGATGAAGAGAAGACATCCTTCTACATAGATCATGGTGCTTTCTGCTATACAAATATGTCGTTCGGATTAAAGAACACTGGAGCAACTTACCAGCGGCTGGTCGATTCTCTGTTTGCCAATCAAATCGGCAGGAACATCGAGGTCTATATTGACGGTATGGTCATCAAAAGCCCAGACGAGAAAAGACTGTTACACGATGTGGAGGAAACACTACAAACCTTGGAGAAAGAGAAAATGAAACTAAACCCTGTCAAATGTACCTTCGAAGTAGAGGAGGGGCAATTCCTCGGATACTATGTTACAAAGGAAGGAATTCAGTCGAGCCCGGTCAAAATCGATGAACTTAAAGACACACCTTCGCCAAACACACTAAGGGGATGCTCAAGGACTGAACGGTAAACTAACGACGCTTAATCGTTTCATCTCTAAGTCAGCCGAGAAAGCGATGCCTCTATTTTACACACTCAAGGGATGCATTGAAAAGAACAATTTTTGTTGGAAAACAGAGGCCGAAGCCGCAATGCAAAGGATAAAGAAAGCACTGCACACGCTCCCCACCCTATCCACGTCAAAGGACGCTATTTCATCAGTGCTAGTCGTCGAAAGGCAAGGAAGACAGCTCTCGGTCTACTTTGTGAGTTGGGCCCTGCAGGGGCTAGAGATTAACTACCCAGTCATTGAAAATATGGTGCTCGTCTTAATCTACGTGGCACGACGGCTCCGTTGATACTTCAGGCCCACTAGATAGAGGTGTTGACCAACTGCCCGGTTAAGCAGGTACTCTTAAAGTCGGAGACGTCTGGGTGCCTCGCAAAATGGGCTATAGAACTGGGAGAACACGACATCAGTTATCATCCCAGAGTGAGTATCAAAGGACAGGCACTGGCAGACTTCCTATTGGAGATTCCAGGAGAGCTCCAGCAGGAAATGACAGATGCCACCCAGCGAAGGCACCCAGAAGAGAAGACCGACCAACGATGGACCCTTTATATGGATGAAGCTTCCAACAAAGAAGTCTCAGGAGTGGGCTTAATCCTAACCAGCCCCTCAGGCGAGGAAATCACTTACGCCTTGCGCTTCGATTTCTACACCTCCAACAACGAAGCTAAATATGAGCCATGTTGGCCGACCTAAGATTGGCGGTAAAAATGGGGGCAGAGAAGATAGTAGCTCTAACCGACTCACGCCTGGCAGCCAACCAGGTCACTAAAGAATTCGAAGCAAAGGATAAACAAATGGAGAAGTATGTTAAAGCAGTCCAACGGATCACAAGTTCACTCACGAGTTTCACCATACGGTAGATCCCAAGAGGAAGCAATTGGCGAGCAGACGCTCTAAGCAAACTCGCATCAACATGCTTTGGCCGCCTCTCCAAGGAGGTCCTAGTGGAAGTACTAAAAGAAAAGAGCATCGACGAACGCCAAGTTGACTCTTTATCCATGGCACGACCTAGTTGGATGACACCCATTATAGACTATTTGCAGCCCGACATACTTCCTAAAGACCACACAGAGGCACGCAAAGCAAGAATACGAGCCCCCTAGTACGCAATCTTGGGGGGAGCATTGTATAAGAAAAGTTACACAGCTCCATGGCTCAAATGCATAGACAATGAGTCTGGGAAGAAGGCTCTCCATGAAGCCCACGTGGGATCATCCGGAGCCCACGAGGGGGCGAGAGCACTCACGAGCAAGATACTACACATATGGCTCTATTGGCCAGATATACACCAAGACGCCACAAAATTGACCCGAGCATGCGTGGAGTGCCAGACTTTTTCACTAGTACAAGGCGTACCTCCAGCCAAACTAACATGTATCACTTGTCCATGGCCCTTTTAGCAATGGGGGATTGACATTGTCGGCCCTTTCCCGGAAGCCCCAAGAAAAGTGAAGTTCTTGGTCGTGGCAGTCGACTACTTCACGAAATGGATAGAAGTCGAACTGTTGGCATGTATTGCTGGAAAACAGATGATTAAATTCATGTCGAAAAACATCGTAACAAGGTGCGGAATACCTAACGTTCTGATTAGTGACAACGGATTGCAATTCGCCGAGAACCCCTTCAGATACTGGTGCGCAGAGAGAGGAATAGAGAAAAGATTCACGTCGGTAGCGCACCCCCAAGCCAATGGGCAGACGGAGGTGTCTAACAGGATGCTAGTGTACGGGATCAAAAAAAGACTCGGCAAAGCAAAGGGCAATTGGGTAGATGAACTGCTAGGAGTCCTCTGGTCGTATCGAACCACATCGCGAACCATCACGAAAGAAACACCATTCAGCCTGGCCTACGGGGCCGAAGTGATGCTTCCAGTAGAGATGATGATGGGATCAATACGAACAGAGTATTGCCAGGAGCAAACAAACGGCAAGGATTTGAGGGAGAATTTAGATCTTCTGGAAGAACGCCGAGAGAGCTCAAACATCCGGCAGGCCGCGTACAAAAGAGTAGCGGAGGGGTATTATAATCAGTGAGTCAAAGACAAGGCCTTTCGTGTTGGGGACCACGTCCTACGGAAAAATGAGGCCAACCATGCGCAACCCCGTGAAAAGCTAAGCCAGACATGGGAAGGGATGACAGTTTTAGTAAAACATCCCACGGCCAGACTGATCACTCGAAACGACAAACGGACGCTTAGTATTGTCCGATAGGGAACCTTAGTGTGTTGCAAACTATAATGTATCAGAATTACATAATCACAATAAAAAAGAATGTTCTGAAATGTGCTAATCTTAATATGTTATGTGCCATTGGCATGTGTGATGAATTCAAAATGAAACACATCGGATACTTAGTGGATCCACACACACACATACACATACTCACATAATGAAACACACAAAGCAACAAAATGACAAGTCTTAGAATAAAGTCATGATACGCAACAATACTTTTATACAGGAGGCTCAGCAAGCCCAAAATCCTAACGAAGAGTCGTCCAAAAGAAAACAAACATGCTCAATACATGAAAAAGAAATTAACAATGCAGACACAGACAATGAAAAAAGGCAATCAATATGAACAACCATAGATAAAAAGACAGCACCAACAGGGCCGGTCCAATGGTTTTTCAT